TGTATACAAGGGTTTTTGGAACTCATTTTTCCACTCTTTGAGGGATAGCAAACTCCAATTCTTTGCTCAACAAGGAATGATAATCTATTCCAGAAGAAAACAGCAACTTTGTGCTAGGCAAGTGCTACATAATGGAAGAGAATGTTCAGATAAGCAAGTTTTCAATGTTGGTTAGAGTGGACAGAAAAGAAACTTTTGATGAAGAAAGGATTTACGGTGAATTCTTTAGAACAATAGCTGATAGAAAAGGGAACAGCCAGTTGGATGAACGGGCAACCAAAACCAAAGTTTTGGAGTTGGGAGAAGTTATTTATTTTGAGGGGATAGAGAGATTATGGAAGTGTCCTCTTGAATGAAAGATCCCAGCTGATATAAGCTGAATCAAGTATTGTTACTTTAGACATTCTCATTTAGGCAATGGGCCTTCTGAAATTTTTTGGATGAAACTGTGTTTTAGGATGGTTAATTGTTTTTCTTTGAAAACCCAGAAAAGCTACAGAAAATACAGACACACATAACGCCTGTTTGGACTTGTTTCCTAAAAATGGCTAGAGAGACGCAAGAACCAAGAACCAATAAATCTTAAGAGACAAATCCCAGCTCTAATAGAAAGATACATAGAAAAGCCAATCTAGCTATATAATAAAACTGCCTCTTTTCCTGTGGAATGTGCATATTTCAATGTGAGTATAAGCCAGATGGCAGCAGCCTTTGTTCTAACAGGGCCTGATGATCGTTTGTATACTTAAAATATGCCACAATTACCCACTCACTCATCTTCCTGCCGATAGCAGTAAGATCTGCTGCTGACAATTTCAAGTATAATCACTTATCTTCTCTAGAGAACCATTTTGATCTTTCCCTTCACCCACCATAGCATCAAATAAAAGTAATGTTGCCAGTACACAGCGTGGTTCTGTATAGTGAAGGAAATGGAAACTAGCTTCTATCAATTGCTATTCTAATAGATGATACTGGCAGCTAGAAATGAATGTCACAAGTTAGAACTATGAAGAGAAACCATTTCAAATAACTAATTTACAGTCATATATTTAGAAACATAGTGTCTTCATGGATAGCAATGTGTCTTAGAAAAAATAGTTCTGAGAACTATGGGACAGAGATTAATTTGGTAAAGTCATCTTCCATTCTTCGTCGCCTCTCACATCATTCTTCCCAGTACAGATTTCCCTTGACTTATGACAAGGTTATGTCCCAATAAGCCCATTGTAAGGTGAAAACCCATGTAATACACCTAACCTACCAAACGTCATATCTTAGTCTAGACTACTTGAAACATGCTCACAACGCCTAAATAGCTTAGGGTTTGGGCAAAAACGTCTAACACAAAGCTCATTTTATTAAAAGAATTTGAATGCTACCGATAATTTATTGAAGACTATACTGAAAGTGAAAAACGGTGGCTATATGGGCATATGAATGATTGTTAAGTGTATGGGTTGTTTATGGTCATGATCACATGGCTGACTAGGAACTAAGGCTTGCCATTTCAGTGCCCAGCACGGCAAAAGGGAATTGTCCCACATTTTACTGTCCCAGGAAAGGATCGAAATTCAAAAGTCCAAGCAGTTTCTACATGTGTATTGTTCACACCATTGTATAGTTGAAAATCCTAAGACAAACCGTTGTGTGTCAGGGACCAACTGTAATATCCTTGTTTTTCAAGTATATATACTTTTTAAAATTTTTAATGGAAATGTGCATGTAAATTGAAATTTTCAAATAATAAAAAATAGAATATAGGGTGAAAAATCTTCATTCTACTCAAGACTCCCCAGTCTTCTCTCAAAAGGCACACCCCATTACTGAATTTGCATATCTTTCCGGAAAGTTTCTCTCCTCCACCACAACAGTGTATATAGATAATGCTACACACTATCAATAATGACAAAACCATATACTTATATACACTGTTATTAAAGGCAGAAGAGTATTTGAGGGTATAGATGGAGATATACCACTTTCTACTTAGCCATGTGGGCTGTTCTTAGTCATTTACAAATGCAAGCATGTGTTACAATGAACATTTTCCTACATATTGTTTTGTGCATTTTGTTTTGGTACACATGTAGGCTACTTTCTGAAAAGAAAATTGTTAAAAAAATGCATCTTAAATTTTGGAAGATATTTCCAATTGGTCCTTCTAAGTGAGGGTTTTAATACATAATTGGTCAAAAGATTATCAAAGTATATTTATAAGAAACTGTATGAGGCAAGGAAGAAAAATTGTTTATTTTATGCACATCATTCTCTTCTGGCACTGATAGTAAATTTCTAAGACTGTAAGTAACAAATTAAGTCTATAAGTGAATAAATAATTTTAGTGAAATTAACCCATTGAGCTAACCATTGAGCTAATATCACCATATGATAATTTTGATTATTGTAATTCTAAATGTACCAAGCTGATTAAAAAAATGGGCCACACTACAGTTATTTGGCTTATCAATTACATAGAGAAATGATCATAAATGATGACTCATGTTTTCCCCATCAGGAGAAACTTTTCGGCTTTTAAGGATATATAGTATATATAATTTAAATTTCAAAGATGTTGAAAATATAATCTATATCTGAAAAATGTGTTGTTTACTAAATAGGGTTGTATAGACTTCTTAGCTACTACTATTATGAAAGTAATCTATTAGAGCTAATTTTGATGGAGTCTGGAATCCAGTATTACTTTTTATAATCGTAATTCACCAGGTAGGCTAACAAAAAGAAATGCAAGGTCTACTTGTTTTAGATTTCAATAATGTTAATTAGTATTTATGAAATATCATTTTTATTACCAAAGAATAATCTCTTTCAGGTTATTTCATAAGGGACTATAATTCTTGACTAGGCATTTTAATATTCTAAAGAAACAATACAATACATAAATGTAATATGATGAGATATTTTAAGAAATGCACCTAATATAAGAATTCTTCCAAAGAGTCTATAAAATACTAAAATGACAATTCCAGGTAATAATAAATATGAATTCACACAAATGTATGGTTAATTTCAACAGATAAGTATGCTCATTGTGGTTTGAGTTTAAATTTTAATAGGGAGATATCAGATTATGTCCATAATTTCTATTAATTATTACCAAATATATTACCATATATAAAATGTATTTATGATCATAGTAGATTACGAGCAAATTATAATCTGCATAAATATATTCACAAACATTAGACAAAGATTCTCAACTTTTCACATCCAACCACCTCAATCAAATAATGTTTTTTAGCATAATGCCCTTAATTCTGGACAGATCTATTTGATCATTTCATTTTCTAATTTCCAAAGTGTTTATATAATCCTGTACGTTGAGTATTGTGTAAAAGCAAGTATATATATGACTGTATTTTTTAGTATGACTGAAACATATATATGTTCGTTTTTGCAGCCAAAAGTCTTGGGTCTTAGCTCGATTTGATCACTGTTACATGACTCATTTATTTGTTTTCTAGGCCATGGTCAATATTCAAAACAAACAAGAGTCCAAAGACTAACAAAGGAAAATTTTCCTTATTTCTATGTTTTTCCTCCCGAGTTCTTCTATTTGATCTCTGCCTGTCACAGTTATTTGCTCAAAATTCCCTGTCCTGCAGAGCAGCTTACAGAGACACCTAGCGGTAAACCTTAATGGAAGCTTCTCAGGCTATTCTTAATACTGAGTTAATGGTAGAGAGTTGTCATCACTTACTCATTTGAACCACAAGAAATAAACTGGAATATTTTTAGGTCAGTGTTTCTAACAAAACCGGCATCTAAAATAAGAGCAAACATGTTTAATACTTTTAGCTTGACAAAATCTATTTTAATCAGGGTAAAAAAATTTTAAAATAAAAATAATACCAAATCAAAAATTAAAACGAATTTTGATACTTAATACAATTGTGAGGAGTTAAGAAAGCAATGAAAGAATTAACTAAAATAGCTACTCTACATCTATTTTGAGAAGTCTGGTAATCGATTAAACCATTTTATACTCTTTCAGAACTTGTATGGAATTTGCCCACAGCGAAAATTATGTCTGTGATAGAATGCCAGAAGTTTCCAACTATAAATGATATATAATTTTTAAGTTATGACACTTTTACACATTCATTTAAAAGCAATGTTATATTTTAAAAATAAAATTTCTATATTATTCATATCATGTTAGACAACGATGACTAAATAAAATATACAGTAACAAGACTTCTGTGGGTGAAGTTTAAGTTGTCTGTTTTTGTAAGGTAACTGCAGCAAGTGGCTATCATTTGGGGCCAAACATTTCTAAATTTATAGGAAGTTCTTTTATAAGGTTTTGTTATCATTACCCAATACTACAGATTACTTCTTTTCTCCATCTCTTGCACATGCCCTGAATTTAAACAAAATAAAATTGTTTCAAACAAGGTATGTATAGATTAACTGAAAAATATTTGCAAAACAGAGCGAGAAGAAATTTCAAGAACTGTTGCAAAATCTCAAGAGACTGCAGTATAAACCACCTCTAGAGAACTCCTAATTTCAACACAGAGACAGGATGTGGGAAGATATGTTTGTATAGATGTTAGAATCTTTATAATCCTATATTTAATCAAGATATTATAACCACGACAGTATCCCAAATATCACCAAGGAGATAATGTCAATTATGTTTAAGAGGATTCCAAAAATAACTAATTCATCATTAATCCTAAAATAAGGTAGATAAAAATATTTAAGTGGTAAAACTACCCAGTTATCATAGAATAGGTACATGTGCACTCAGCCTCCATTGGGCCAATTACTATGATCAACTTTTTTTTCTATACCAGGGAAGGACTGCTGGTCTAATATATTACAAACACTAGAAATATGCCTATGAATGTAAAGACCCCCCCTCCTTCCTCTGGGGAGGGAGGTGCCTGGTTTCATGGAAAGAGACAGGAATACTTACTGTAGAGATGACGCTAGTGGAGTTTAGCAGGTGACTCTTGAAGAAACTCACTTTCTATCGATACTGCATTTATCTAGGGGTTTCCAGGTTTTAGTACACACCAAATGTATTCACAACCATTCTCTCTGAAAGTCGTTCACATTCCCTTGCATTGCTCAGACACACCTATAAAATGCAATTATTTAAATATATATATATACATACATATATATGTATGTATATATATATGTATATATATATATATATGTATATATATATATATATATATATATATATATATATATATATATGCGCCCTTGTTTGCAGCTAGGATGGACCACTCCCTCTTCCAGGGTCCTTTAGAGTAAGTACATGAGACAGAGCAGGGGCTGTATTATTCTAAATGGCAGGAGGAAGGCAGGCGAAGAGCACAGGGCTGGAATCGTCTGTCCCTGACCACCAACAAGCCTGGCACTGTCGGGGTTATTTCCACTCCTCCCTTTTTCAATCCAAGGATTGCACAGTCCTACGCTTGTGCTAAGCACATGGTCCAAGACTCCTCTGTCTCCCACAAATGTGACATCCAAGGGGTGCTGCGATTGCACCGCCCGAATCCAGGGACGCCCTCGCCCTCGGCTGCCATCTATCGGCCACTGAGTGCCCGCTGCGACCCGGGCCCATCATGTCTGCTGCAGCTTGGCTCGCACCAGCGGCGCGACAATAAACAAGTGCACTGGACGGGGCCCTGAGCTGGAGCAGATGTCTCAGAGACCCCTGTGATGCTTACCGTGTTGCCACATTTTCAGCGCCCGGGAGGGAAGACGCGATTTTCTCTGAGTATTTTAGAGCCGCCAGGCTGCCGGGACACGCCACAGGCGTAGAACAACGCTGCTCCTGTCCCCCCAGGCCCCCTAAAGGATGTCGGAGATAGAGAGTTCCAAATAATGACGATCGTGCGCCGCATCTGGGGAAGGGATGAGAAAAACCCCTGCAAATACTGGGAGCGATGAAACCGCCAAGAGGATGCGGGAACCATACAAACACTAATTAGGGGCCGCGGCGGCGGCGGCGGCGGCGAAGGACTCGGCGAGGGGACAGCGGCGGCGGGATCCCAGCGCGGTGGTCGCCGCTGCGCGGGGGGTGGAGGACGGCGCAGGAGCCGCAGCCGCCGCGGGAGTAGCCGAGGGGCCGGTGCCACCTTTGCTCGCCCCCTCACTACCATGTACAGTGTGCGCTGCAAGAAGAAGGCGGGAGATGCATGCACACCCCCGCGCCCCGCTCCCTCTGGCTAGTCCCCGGGCGTGCGCCACTGACCAGGGGGGAATGTGGTGAAGACAGAGAGGAGGAAAGCCGAGGGGGGAGGGGAGGGGCGGCCAGCGCGAACCCAGGCCGAAGGGTACGTGGAGCCGGAGGCTGCTGGAGGGGGCGGCGGCTGCTGCTGGCTTGGAGAAAGTTGCCCCTTATGCAGATGGCAACTGTAAGTACCCGCCTGGGGAGTGCGGCGAAGGGTGCCTGGGACCCTGCGATCGCGCGGTGGCGCGGGTGGGAACGACTGTGCGAGTGAGCGTGAGTGTGAGCGGGTACGATCGCTCGGCGGGGCTGACCGTCACGTTGGAGGGGCCGGCGGTGCCAGGCAGCCTTCACGTCCCCTCCTCGGGTTCCGCGCCTCCCCCCCTCTCCGACAGCTCCTTCCCCGCCCCGCCCGGCTCCGGCTCCGGCTCCGGCTCCCGGCCCCTACCGCGAGGCGCCTCTACCGCCGGTCCTCCGCCTCCCCCTCCTCCTCCCATCCCTGCCGGCCGCTCGCGATCGCCCCCTTCTACCCTCCCCCCCCACCCCGCTGCCCACTCCGACTACCACGGAGAGTGCCGGGGAGAGCCGTTTGGGGAGCCCCGGAACCCTTGGTCGCCACCGCGGCGGCGGCCCCAGGCTGGCGGCGTCCGGGCGCCTCTTTCCTTCAGCAGCTTGGACCGCACTGCTCTCCGCCTTCTTGCCCTGCCTGGGCTCAGGAAATCCAGTGCACACCCCAAAGAGGTATTTTGTATACGGGCGGCTATGATGAGTGGGCCCTGGAGATGTGAGACGGGGTAAGTCGACCGTTTACTTTGCAAAAGACGCTCCTGTGTGTGTGTGTGTGTGTGTGTGTGTGTGTGGCAGCGGGGTGGCTTTCTTTCCCTGTCCTCCCTCCCCTCCTTCCTTCCCTTTCTCTTCCTTCGCTTTGGGGCGGAGTGGGGGAAGGGAGCCTCGCGTCCTGGAACTCCGGGTGCTTCTGCCTGGGCCGCTGTGGGAGCAGCTGCGCCCAGAGCAACGGGTCCGGCCTGGGTGCTGTGCTCCAGCCCGCGCAGCCCCACTCTTTTTAATGAGGGATGTACAGGGCGATGGTTTAGGGTCTAAATTCTTTGGAGCAAACAAATACAGTCCCTCCGCCCCCACCCTCCAAAAAAATAATAATAATAATCTGAGATGTGATAATCTGAGAATGTGCAACGCACCCGCTAATTTACATCAGAGGTGCGTTTGCCAGTCAGAATGTCAGCCTTCCCCGGCTCATTCAACTTTATTTTCTCAAAATTTTGGGCTCCTTTGATGGCAAGGAGGAGAAAGAGAGTGGGGGTGAGAGGAAGCTCTTCGACCCCGGCTAACCAGAACTGAATTAAAGTTGTAAACGCTCCAGGTTAATACCGGCTGGACACAATTTGCAATGGGCTGTCAGAAAGGGTGGGAGGGGAATGGGGGCGGGGAAGCAGTGGGAAGGAGGGGGAGGGGGCCCAACCCCCGCTGAATGGATGTGCAGATTTGATCCAGTGGAGAACTGAAATTTCAAGGTAAACGTTTTGCTTTCCATAGGGGGTGTTTTTGCCGCTTTTAAGCCAGGAGGCGTTTGCGGTTGCCTTGGGAGGTCGGAGATACTTGAGAGGTTTATACACTGTGATTCCGATTCGTCTCGACACGTCTGGGTGGCCACACGTGAATGATTCGCAGGCACACTTGCACATGTGCGTGCGAATGCAGGGGCTCTTAATAACACGGGCTGGATTCGGCTAGGGGAGCAAGATCGAGTCTCAAGGCTTGAACCCATGACTCAGAAACGTCTTGGCTTTAGTTTGGGTTGCGATTTGACATCAGACTTCGGTGGTGGCGAGGCAAAGGCAAGGTTGACTGGAGAAAAGGCATGGGTTCCCAGAGCCCAGCGTCTCTATCAAATTCCCGTCCCCCGTCCCCCCACCCTCGCCGCAACCAACACAACACGCACTCACACACTCACATACTCTCTCCATTTATGTCCTTTCCTTTTTGAGTACCGCTGTCGACCCGAAGTAGGAAGTCGAAGGAAGCCTTTAAGAGGACAAAAAAGAAATCGAGAAAGAAAAGAGGAAGGGCTTCAAACTGATTCCTTGAGGAAATGAAATTCGGGTATTAAAGCACAGACCTATGTCACTTGCCTTTCTTCCTCCCTTCATCCTTTCTATTTTGCCTGTTAATCAGCCAGAGTGCCCTTTCTCTTAAGGGGGGAAATGAGGGGGGGGGAGTAAAATATTGACGATTAAATGTACTAAACAACTCCAAAGATGATGGGGATCTAGTGAGGTGGTAGTTCAGTCCAAATCTTGCTAATTCAGGAGGGTTAGTTTTGCATACCGTGGCAAACAGACGCGGAGCAGGAGGTAAGGGAAGCTTTGGCGCTGGCCCTTGGTTTACTTTTAGCTGATTCCCGGTAAGCGGTAGGAACGTCCTCTTTAAACTCCAGGTATCGGGAGGTGTTCCGGGATTGCGGATGCCTTCGCTGAGTTCTTTGTAATCCAACGTGCAGAACTATTTCTGTGGCTTAAAGATGCGGTTTGGTAGCGTCGCTGACATGATCAATGAGGAGAAGTGGACGCAGGGCGCTCTCAGAGAAGCGCTGCTAAGTGGCACCGTGCATGCAATTAGGACACTGATCTGCTTAAAAGCGTGGTAGTGAAGTCCACCATCGAAGCGAACGCGCTCTCCTTTTCTCCTTCCTCAAAGCTCCTGAAGACAATTGGTGGTTTAAGAGCTTCTTCTGGGTCCTTCTGATGCATTATCTTACATCTTTTTTGCCTCTGAAAAGTATTCTTTAGGTTCCCACCCTGGCATTTCCAGCGATGGTTTAAAATAGCCCAAGTATTGTGACTCTTTGCTTTTCTGTGAAAAATGGGAGACCTTCACGGTGAACTGTTAACTGAGTAGATTCTGAAAGAAAGGCAGACGTGTTTGGTATAGGTGAGGTGGGGAACCCTGTAAAATGGTGCTTCTTTTCTCTTAAATTAGAACCATGAAACTGAACTGACAGCCATTTTATGTATATTTATGGATTGGTTTTGAAAAGGGGGGAGCAAGGAAAGCCACTAAAATGGGACTTTAACCTGCCCTTATCTTGTAGAGGGCAGCATGTTCCTGTTGTACTCATTAGGAAATGAAATCAACCTTTAAATCAAAATGAATATGAGATATTACTAAAGTCTGAAGAATGCCGGTGTTCCACTGGGTGGGGGGATGCCATTCATATCCCCTCCTTCTGGATTTCAGAGAAATAGTATTAGGGCCAAGAGAGACTTTCTTACGAATCCCTTCAATTTTTGTCATATTCTGTTGTTTCCTTTTTCTCTCTCTCCCTTGCAGGAGGTAAAATGCACACTTGCTGCCCCCCAGTAACTTTGGAACAGGACCTTCACAGAAAAATGCATAGCTGGATGCTGCAGACTCTAGCGTTTGCTCTAACATCTCTCGTCCTTTCGTGTGCAGAAACCATCGATTATTATGGGGAAATCTGTGACAATGCATGTCCTTGTGAGGAAAAAGACGGCATTTTAACTGTGAGCTGTGAAAACCGGGGTATCATCAGCCTCTCTGAAATTAGCCCTCCCCGTTTCCCAATCTACCACCTCTTGTTGTCTGGAAACCTTCTGAACCGTCTTTATCCCAATGAGTTTGTCAATTACACTGGGGCTTCAATTTTGCATCTGGGTAGCAACGTGATCCAGGACATTGAGACTGGGGCTTTCCATGGGCTGCGGGGTTTAAGGAGATTGCATCTGAACAATAATAAACTGGAACTTCTGCGTGATGATACCTTCCTTGGCCTGGAGAGCCTGGAGTACCTACAGGTCGATTACAATTACATCAGTGTCATTGAACCCAATGCTTTTGGGAAACTGCATTTATTGCAGGTGCTTATCCTCAATGACAATCTCCTGTCCAGTTTACCCAACAACCTTTTCCGTTTTGTGCCCTTAACGCACTTGGACCTGCGAGGGAACCGGCTGAAACTTCTGCCCTATGTGGGGCTGTTGCAGCACATGGATAAAGTTGTGGAGTTACAGCTAGAAGAAAACCCCTGGAATTGCTCCTGTGAGTTGATCTCTCTCAAGGATTGGTTGGACAGCATCTCCTACTCTGCCCTGGTGGGGGATGTGGTTTGTGAGACCCCCTTCCGCTTACATGGCAGAGATCTGGATGAGGTGTCCAAACAGGAACTTTGCCCAAGGAAACTTATTTCAGATTATGAGATGAGGCCACAGACGCCTTTGAGCACCACGGGGTATTTACACACTACCCCAGCCTCCGTGAATTCAGTGGCCACTTCTTCCTCTGCTGTTTACAAACCCCCCTTAAAGCCCCCTAAGGGGACCCGCCAACCCAACAAGCCCAGAGTGCGCCCCACCTCTCGGCAGCCCTCCAAGGACTTGGGCTACGGCAACTATGGCCCCAGCATCGCCTACCAGACCAAATCTCCGGTGCCTTTGGAGTGTCCCACAGCGTGCACTTGCAACCTACAAATCTCGGATCTGGGCCTCAACGTCAACTGCCAGGAGCGCAAAATCGAGAGCATCGCAGAACTGCAGCCCAAGCCCTACAACCCCAAGAAAATG